CATGCGCTTGGCCTAGGCCACATGTCAATTCTTGGAAATTTCAGCTCATTGGAAGCGCAATTGAAATAACAAACGTTGCCTCAAGAGAAGAGCTCCGAGTATGACGTCAGATTTTTGAAAAAAACTTTGCACAAAATTTTCTATGATATATGTGAATCCCAGCCCGCGCATTGCAGAGACAACCGAGATTTTTTCGATCGAAACTCGGCAAAAGTTTGATATTTTTTGCCGAATTTCGGCACGAAAAGTTTCATACCTGTTTCTACCGTAAAGGAAAATGTTTCTACAAAAAATCAAAATTTTCCGCACGAAACTGCCAAAGTTATGGCCAAAAAGCGTTTTCTCTCTGACCGCTCTCCACGTTTAGCGTGCTCTCTCGGCGGCAAAAATCGTTCGATATCTCGGCGGCGCCCGCAAAGCGCAAGCTAAGACTTCTAGGAATTGATATTTAGTCCATACCCGACGTGTGTGCAAAATTTAAAGAAAATCTAAGAGTCGCACTTAGGGTACTTCCCTTGTTACACAATTTTTTTTTATAGAAATGTACCTGCCAAAAATCGCAAAAAATAGAGAAAAAAAATCTTGGCTATTTTTGCTAAGCATATTTCTCAATTTTCCCACCCTCCCTTCGATTGGCCTTTGTGTTTCAAAAATCGCGTCAAAATAACCTAATTATCATCATTCCAACGCAATCGAGCCCGCTCGAAAAGGCCGACCGAAACGCCTTTTCCCGTGGCTGATGACTCAATGGCCTCAGGAGCGAAGGGAAAAGTGGTCGACGCGAATGACCAACCCAACTTTTAAGGAGAGGAATTTATGAAAAATTTTCATAAATTGGTTTAATCGGAGGGCGAGGGCGAAAGAGGAACCCTCAAATTGGGGCATCCAACATATTACGCGGAACGCGGAAGGGGTTATGGAATTTTGCGATTATTAATGGAAAGTAACGCATGGGGAAGGAGGGAAAAATAAGGAAAAAAGATTATTACAGGTTGGTGGAGTAAGGTGGGACTTTTATTTTCGGAAAGCAGATAGGAAAAGTGCTTTTTTGTAAGGTGTAAATTCACAATTATGCATCTACATACTACATTCAAACACAGGAAAAATTTAAATTGATTTCCAAAGGAATCATTGACCTCATACCTGCATATTAGGTAGATTCTCAAAATGCAACGTCAATATTTTACTTCAAAACCTGGGAAAAATTTGAAAACAAGGCTCAAATCAATTTCTCAAGATTTCAAATCCTTTTTGGCAGGCATAGCCTCAATTGTCATGTTTTTTACAATTTGCGCACAATTTGGATATAGGCCAGATATCAATTCTTGCAAACTTTATCCCGTGCTTTGCAAGGGAAGCCAAGATATTGACCGATCTTTGTGGCTAAGAGAGCACGCTAAACCGAGGAGAGCGGTCACAGAAAAAAGACCCTTTTTGACCATATCTTTGCCATTTTCGTTAGAAAAAATTGATTTTTTATGGAAACATTACCTTCTACGGTAAAGAATTTGAAAAAAAGTGTTACATTTATTTCCAAAACTTCTATCGCTTCTGAAAATCGCGAGCTAGCAGTCTCGCATGTCTTATAAAAAAGCTATTCTAAATTTGTGCCAAGTATCATCAAAATCTGAGCGTCGCACTTGGCGCACCTCCCCAATTTCAAGATCTGAGGTCTTCTAACGCTTCCGTTGTAAGTTGAATTGCTTCGTGGGGCATAACAAAAAACTATAAAACAATTTTCCCAAACAACTTCCGTGACAAGCTGCAAAATAAATACACTGAACAATGCCTTATTTATCAACTTTACCGCAATAACAACCCCACCAAAATACAATCATTTCCAGCGATTTCTCCCATCTTTTCCCTGCATCTTTGACTAAAAATTTCGCACTTCCAAGAACACTACTAATAACAACAATTTGTAAAAAACAGAGATCTCGGACGTCCCCTCTTTTAATGCCCACTTCAGAATCCGATGATGACCCGGAGATCAGAGTTATTAAATGATGTTTTATAATTAAAAAGAAGACAAAAAGACGGAAGGGAAGAGGGATCTGGATCCAGGAGGAGTGAAGTTGTGAGGTCGGGAGAATGGGAGTTAATTAAAGCTGCACAGAATCGTGTTGGTGAGCTGCTACAGGAGTGGAAGCAGGTCAGAAGAGGAGCACCATTTCCGGTTTTGGGATCGGTAGTGTGAACAGAAGAATAAAGTAATAAAAATCAAGACTTGTTAATTCATCGAATAATGTAAATCTTGAATTTGGAGCAGACGGAATTGAAAGAAAGTGGGCTTAAATAAACAAGGGAAGTGCTCAAAGTGCAAAGCTCAGATTTTCCTTACAAAAAACTTGCTTACCGTAAAGACATTGCACGTCAATCCAGCACCTTTCCTGAACCGTTTACGAAGATTTTTTTAAAGAGCAACATTGCCCTTAAAAAATCGAAAAATATTTAGAACATTATTTTCTGACCAGGAAGCAAGACTTTGTCTCGAATAGTCAAGAAAAAACAGATTTCCTACAAAGTTCTGTTTCTGAGAAAACGCCACATTGATTACATCACCAGCAGGAAATAAAATAGGTTCAACCGAACCACATTTAAGTTCATAACGATTTTAGCTCGCACTTTGCAAAGGGATATTCTGTAATACCTGCCGACAAGAGAGTGGGCGAAATGTGGATAGCGGCCACAGAAAGAATATTTTTTACCATGTTTTTTGCCAGTTTCGAGAGGAAAGGGTTCCTTTATAAAAACGTTGACCTCTACGGCAAAAACAGGACTGATACTAGTCCGTCCGGAAAGTCGCCGGACGGAAATCGGCGACATGCACTGTGAGAAAAAACTTAGGGTGCGAGCGACGGCTCGAAAAAGCCTATTGCACAGTGCAGAAAGCCAAAAATCGCACAGTGCAAAGTGAACTTTCGTTTTCGCGGAGTGCACGCCGCCGATTTCAGCCCGGCGACTTTCCGGACGGGCTAGTACATACTTTTATGAGTAAGCACGCAAAAAGTCCTGAATTTTGACCAATTTGCGGACCAAAAATCTCAATTGTTTCGGCAAGAGAAAAAATCGTATGCTGAGAAGAAAGGCTGAAGATATGTGTACTAGTCCGTCGACAAAGTCGCTGGAGTGACTTTGGTGACGTCACTGTGAAAAAAATAAAAGTTTACTTTGCACTATGCAATTTCTTGCTTTTTGCACCGCACGGCAACCCAAAGTATTTTCTGGCTCCTTTCGACTCTTCGCCCATTTTGTATTGGTTGAAATCAAACGAAATATCAGAAAAGAATTTTTCGTGGGATTTTTCGACCGAAAAATACTTTTCTCAGCCTACAAATTTTTGCAAAAAATTACGAGTCTGATATTTTATTCATCATGAACGAATTTAAAATTTAAAAACAGGGATCTTTTTTAAAAATTCATCCCCCCAAAGCTCAAGGAATTCCACAAAATCACCCACATCAGAGCCCTTGATATGATTTTTATATGCGTTTAATCCGTTTCATTCCTCCTGGAGCACCTGTTCGAACACAAAAAAACACATTTATATCCCCCAATTGTTTTTGTTTTCTGGCCGCAAATTTTTCGAATTTTTATTTTTTCGTAATTTTAACTTTTGCTTTTCAAAATTTTCCGTGTATTTTTCATATGAATTATTGCGTATTCTGCTTTTTGATAGATCATATTTTATCTAATCAAAATGTTTTTGTCATTTTAGCAAAATCAATTTCACAATGTCATCGAATAACAGAAAGGGTGAAAAGCTCAGCGGTCACAAGTGAATTCACATGACCTCTGATTTTCTCATGTTCTCATTCCATTGTGTTATCAGGTCGAAATGCAAAGTCGTCAAAGAGCGAATAGCCAAAGGCCGGTGACGTTGAACAATTAAATTTTGAGGAAATTTTCAATTTATAAGGGCGTATTTGAAGCTGACTAATTTTTTGATACTTTTTGATACCAAAATCTGACCAAATTCTATGCCAAATTCGACTTTTTCAGTCTTCCCAATAACGGTTATTTGTCGCCAAAAACGTACAGAGTATCAAGATTTCATGTCAAGAGTGTACTAAATTTACTTTATCAACGTTCTCGTGGAACAATGATTCCTCAGAGTACAAAGAAAAGGGAGCGTTTGTTTATGCTCATCCTTATCACCTTCCTTTTATTGTAAACCACCCAAGAGAGAGTTGCAAATAAATCAAAATTTTAGGTGTTCTAGAATTGTACGTATGATTCATACTACAGTGGAGCTCCTCCACATCCAACTCCTGTGGAACAAAACCTTTATATCACAAACAATTTCATAGGCTGCAAAAATAAATTTCATGCAAAAGAAGATCTTCGTGTACGTATCCGTTTGCAAAGTCGCTGGGGTGATTTTGGAGACATGTACAATACGAAAATAAAAGTTTACTTTCCACTGTGCCTCGTGTTTGCAGAGCAGGTGTTTGGTTGTATTTTGTATGTTCTTCAGGCTGTAAAAAAGCAAAATCTTTTGGATTTTTGGCAACTTCTAACTTTTCTAAGTGTCCTTTCCTAACCACGTATTTTAAAAAATCAAATTTCAAAGCTACTAGCCTCTAACATGACTTTATTAAATGCGAATTTGAATCAGAGATCATCTGCAATCAGAAACCTTCTTGTAATCAAAAGAAAGCTCAGAACTCAAAGAACCCTGACCATGCCTTTGCTGCCGCCTTTATATCAACACCTTCTCCATCGATTCTTCACGAAACTTCCTCCTTTTTCCACGACATACCACGTCTTTTCTCTTGACCACCGCCCATCCGCGAATGTTCAAATATCAGGCCGTGCAAACACACGCGCCTCAGACGTTTACCTCGAGTACATTAAAGGGGCCGGAGGGTTTGAAAACTTGCGGAAATCAAGGACATTTGAAATTGAATCAGAGAATAGTTTTTGTGCGGACTGATAACGCTCGTCTGTTATAAGAGGGCCTTTTTTGAGGGTCGAGACGAGTCTCTGTTCCTAAAAAAATGATCTCTCGGCATGTGTTCAGTGTGATTGTGGCGCTGCCAATTCTGGTTTTATGCAAATACCTGGCCAACTTGGTGCCGTATGAAAAACAGGTAAGTGTTATCGGGGAGATTGGAAAATTTTGGCGGGAAAAAATTTTGAAAAAGGAAATTGATCAAGTCGCAATAATTCGATGTTTATATGTGTATAAGTTTTGTAACAATCTTAGACTACTTAATTCTAAAACATACTAAAGGTTATGAAAGCTCACTAATTATGAAACCACCTAAATTCTTAGAGTAATGACAAATCATTTCCCTCATTTTTTAGCAATGACGCACCTTTGATTTGTCTAATATAATTTCAAGTTTTAACACCCTTGATTAGTCTAAGCGTTACATAAAGTCTGGTAGATTATAAGCGTGTTTCTGCAAGGATATACGAGATATTGAACAATCTTTTTTTTGACAAAGAACATCCGACAGCGCGGAGAGACAGCTAAATTTTTGTGGCTTTGTAAAAGTAATTTTGTATATTGCCGTATATTGCACATTTACAGCAATGTTTTCCACCATAAAAAATTGTAAAAATAAGCAAATTTGTACACATCTTTGTCCTAAAATTCCTTCAAATAGGAGATAAAACTTGCATTCAAAATTATGAAAAATTTAATCAATGGACTTGTGTTTTCGCCTTAAAAATGTAGGACTCCCATTTTTAATACCGTATTTTACCTCTTTTACAAATTTTATGCAATATTTTTTCAGGGGTTCTTCTGCGATGACAATGAGATTCGTCTGCCGTATAAAGAGGACACAATTGGCAGTTATACGATGTTATTCCTCTTTGCCGTAATTGCTGTGGTCTTGGTAAGTAATTCTGTTGTTAAAATACGATATAGTTATCAATGTAATCATAACATATTCTTAACTTCAGATGATCGTATCTGAATATTCATTGGTCAAGCATTTGTCCAAGAAAGGGAAGCGGATTGTCACGGAGTCCACGGCGATTCATCCAGTCATATTAACGATAATATTCTTCCTTGGTAAGTTTTATACAGGGTGCGGCAATTTTTCGGCCGGATTTTAATTTGCCATAACTTTTTTAGTTTTTGGGCAAATGTCAAAATTCTTTTTTTCCCTGAATCCATAGACAACCCCATTTTGTTTAATACCAAATATGTTATACCCGTTCATTAGACTACAGTAAAAATTCGAGACAAAGAAAAAGCTCTAATTTTCATAGCTGACAATGGAATTACCCCTAGTGCGACCCTCAGATTTTCTTTAAATTTTGCATATGGGCCGGACATAGGCCACACATCAATTCCTGAAAGTTTCAGCCCGCACCTTTCAGGGGCGACCAAGATATTCAACGATTCTTTGCGGTCAGGAGGGCACATGAGTGGCCACACAGAAAAACTTTTTGGCTATATCTTCGCTAGTTTTGTGCGGAGATAGCTGATTTTTTGTGGAAACGGTATTCTCCATGGCATGAACAGGCATGAAACTTTTTACGACAAAATTCGTAAAAAGAGTCATTTTTTCTGGCGATTTTCACACACGCCGAAAAAGCAGAGAAAACGACCGAAATGCCAATAACTATGTACTAGGTCCCTGTATATATAACATACTTGGTATTAAAACACGATTTCTGAGTGAGTGTAGCAGCCCTTGACATAGAAAATTTCGATCTCGGGTTTTTTGCCTTAATGTGACCGACATCATCCTAAAAACTTATTGGCAAAACAGTTTTGCCTACTTCCGCCGTTAACATAGTTGTTTTTACAATTTATTGTTTATACAGTAATCCTCAATAATTCAGTAATGACCATACAGATATTCATGAAATTGTGTATACTGACGTTTTCGAACTCGTAGATTTCAAAAAAAGTGGTTTTGACTCATTAGGATTACTGTAACATACCAAACTGCCGATTCGGCCGCCAAAAATCGGCCGTAAAAAGTTTGTTTCTAAAAACCCACAGCTGATTTTAACATATGTTAATCAGCATAAAATTCTGCCCTATAAACGTTAAAAAAAAGTCCAAAAAGTGGGGCGGCATTTTTCATGGTATAGTGGTTTTGGGTCAGAACTACCAATCCAGCGTCCCGAGTTCGAGTCCGCCTGGATGCAAAAACCAAAAATAAAGCGTAAATTAGCTTTAATGTGGTCTTGGGGTCTGTATGAGGGAGACTGAATAATTTTAGACATAGATGATAACCCTATTTGAGATAAAAATGGATTTTATATAATTTTAGATGATAAATTCGTGAAAAATGAAACGTCTTCAAATTGCTTGAAATTGATAACAACTCTTCTAGAAATAATTCTAAGAAACTTTTCCGTTAGCTTTTTTTGATTGCTTACTGTATCATAGAGTACTGTAACATAAAACCTTTTTTCCTTAACCGTGGTTTTCTTCTAAATTCTTTAAATGAAATTTTGAATTTTTTTGGTTAGCTTTTCTAAACGGTCGATACCATACGCGCTGCATATTTAAAATAAAATTCCATCTCTATTCCAGTGTGTATTCGTATCATCGTTAATTGGTGAAACTTCGGGAGATTTCTCAGGTCTTTTGAATCGTACGGCCATAAAAACATTTTGGTGTTCCAACCGACTCACTCTTAACCATTTCTATCATTATAGTGATAGTCCGATGTCTCTGCGCTCCGTGGTATGTGAAAAACTAAATCGGGTTTAATGTTACAGTACTCCATGGTACAGTAAGCAATCAAAAAAAGCTAACGGAAAAGTTTCTTAGAATTATTCCTAGAAGAGCTGGTATCAATTTCAAACGATTTGGAGACGTTTTATTTTTCACGAATTTATCATCTACAATTATATAAAATCCATTTTTATCTCAAATAGGGGTATCATCTATGTCTAAAGTCTCTCTCATACAGACCCCAAGACCACATCAAAGCTAATTTACGCTTGATTTTTTGTTTTTGCATCCAGGCGGACTCGAACTCGGGACGCTGGATTGGTAGTTCTGACCCAAAACCACTATACCATGAAAAATGCCGCCCCACTTTTTGGACTTTTTTTTAACGTTTATAGGGCAGAATTTTATGCTGATTAACATATGTAAAAATCAGCTGTGGGTTTTCAGGAACAAACTTTTTACGGCCGATTTTTGGCGGCCGAATCGGCAGTTTGGTATGTTACAGTAATCCTAATGAGTCAAAACCACTTTTTTTGAAATCTACGAGTTCGAAAACATCAGTATGCACAATTTCATGAATATCTGTACGGTCATTACTGAATTATTGTGGATTACTGTATAAACAATAAATTGTAAAAACAACTATGTTAACGGCGGAAGTAGGCAAAACTGTTTTGCCAATAAGTTTTTAGGATGATGTCGGTTACATTAAGGCAAAAAACCCGAGATCGAAATTTTCTATGTCACGGCCTAACTAAAGGCTGCTTCACTGACTCAGAAATCGTGTTTTAAACAAAATGGGGTTGTCTGAGGATTCAGGGAAAAAAAGAATTTTAACATTCGGATAAAAACTAAAAAAGTTATAGCCAATTCAAATCCGGCCGAAAAATTGCCGCACCCTGTATTGTAAAATACGCAATCCACAGAGTCCGCTGTAATTGTTTGCTATTGACAATTTTCGTTCCACACTTTGCTATACAAAGTTTCCATTGTAATTCAGCATCCCTTTTCAGCCTGCCTCCTCTGCAATATTTACTGTGTCCAAACCACAGTCGGGTTTTCAAAACGGACAGTCTCAAGGCTCCGGCCCAACTTCATCTCAGTTTGTCAGCCAAATTTGACAGAGCTGTGCAGCTTCGAAAACTCCCACAAATTCATCCAACATTATCGATGTTATGGAGAGTTCCGAGAGGACGAATACTACAGTTTTCCCAGTGGCCACTCCGCACAAGCTGTTGCCTTTGGACTCTTTATGATTGTAAGTCAGCATTTTTTTGTTTCTGCGAGCGTAGATGAGAGCCCTGCAGAGGGTAGTGCGCTTTACAAGGAGAATATTGAAAGAGAAATTTTTTGAAACAGACCTTGCAAACGGATCTCTACTTCAGGCTGGAAAAATCCCAGTTTTTTATCTTTATCTGCCAATATTTTCGATAAAACTTATGCCCAAGGCTAATACGACCAAAGCAACTTTTCAAGCATATTAACAAAGTGGCTAGAGTAATTTTGACAGCCGAAAAAAATCAGCAAAAACGGACAGTGCAAAGCGAACCTTTGTGTCGCAATAGCGGCTTTGCGTGCAGACTATAGTATAGTTCTGTTTGTGTGCTTATAGGTTAAATATGTTCTTTTTAAAAGAACCTGGCGGTATCTAAAAAAATTCAATTTTCGCATAAAATCTCCAAGTTTCAGCATTTTATGACCAAAAAATTTCGGCAATTTCTGTTAAGCGCAGGCCGAAAATCCCAAGCATTCTTTCATAGAAGAAATCGAGCATTTTTATTGTTCCAACTTTTTAATATTATATTTACCTTTAATACTTCTTCTGCTTTCAGTTCTACATTCAAAAGCGCTACAAGTTTCTGGAGCCGTCCAGGTCATTTCTACAGTTGGCACTTTTCTTCATCACCGTGTTCATCTGCCTGAGTCGAATTCGAGATAACAAACATCGCCTAACCGATGTGATGGGTGGAGCTTCCATTGGTGCCATGTTTGCTTGGTTCTTTTTACGGCATGTTCTGAAGGACTTCAAGTTGAATCGATACGAAACAACGGAGAAGGAGCATTTCACAGAGGACATTGCCTATGGGACGAATTGCAAAGGTGGATACGAAGCGGTGTAAATACTCTTATACAACCTCAGTGCAGCAAATGATGTAAAAATAATTTATTGTACATAAACATGATACTCATACTTTTTTATTTATTTTTTTTTTTTTTTGACACTCTGCATAGGCATCGCTAAGATACTCAATAAATAATGCAAGAAAGGGAAAACGAAGAATGGACAAAAATGGACAGTGAAAAAACAATCTAGCATACAGTGATCCAGTGGTAAAACGTACCATTTTTTATCCAGAAGGTATCAAAAACGTGGCAAAATGCTTCTCGCTCCAAGTGAAAACTTTGTTTTGCAATTTTTGTGAGTTTTCCTCACAGAAGAGTTTCCCTTTTTCCTCACAGAAAGAGTTTTGAAATCTGAGAGTTTAATTTGGAGAGAGAGGTATTTTGCCACATTTTTTGATACTTCCCGGATGCAAAATGGTACGCTTTTTGCCACTGGACCAGGTCCTCCACTGTATAGAAGTTTCAGAGGTGAATTTTAGGCCGAAATGGACTTCCAAGTAACAAGTCCGTTCTATGACAAGTATTCTCGCACATTTTTTTACGAGAAACACTTTAGACGTGGACACTGTACCGTCGTTCAATCAGCTTGTTCAGTTATTTTCATCATGTAGATAAACTTTTCCACGCCAAATAGGCAAAGATAATGTCCTCGCTGACGAAGGTCGCTGAATATTAGCCCCTGCAAACGCGAGTCAAAGCTTCTAGCAATTGATGTGTGGCCTAGACAAAACCAGAGCACAAAGTTTCATAATCTTTAAATAAAATCATTGAATTATGTTATATTAATAGTCACAATCGTTTTGGTCGATTGGAGTTTGTCACACAAAGAGTTTACTACTCATGTATTGCCCATGGCTTTTATCATCTCTGATAACAGTTTCCTCGTCATTTCGTTGACATTTTTGTCACTACCCACTGAACCCTTATCAGTTCATTTTTTAAGTGTTTTTTGTCGTCACAACAATCTCTTATTTTCCGTTGACTGTAATAATAGGGTTGATGATGAAAGCTATTAATGAAACAGTTTATTTTCCCAACGTATCATAAAGAAAAACTCCCACTCATTTCGTTGATTGTAATGTAGCATTAAGTCTACATTTCCACGAAACTTTTGTCCCATTTTTTACATTATTTTATATTTATTAGCTAAAAGGGCAATAAATTATGGGCTGAATAAAAAAAAGTGGTCGCGTTGTAAAGTTGTGTCAGTTGCCACTGTTGTGAGTCATCACGGAAATGGTTAATTAGTTTGTAAATAATTAGAAAAAGTGCAGTAGAGGTGTGTTTAGAATAGGAGTTGACGGAGCTTGGCATATATTTAGAACAGAATTTTTTATTAATGGAAGTCTTTGATGTAGCGCCCTCAGATTTGGATGAAAGTTAGCTCAAGTTTGAACTATAACTTTTAAAAATTATACAAGGTTCCTAACTCGCGCTTTTCAGAGAAATTTTTGAGCGAAAATAATTTTTCCAAACTTTGGGAAGGCATGGAAAGGTTAATTCAAGATATATATATATTTTTTTGAAATTCGGTCGGTTGGAAATGGCGGGTCTCAGCTACAGAAAAATCTAAATTTCAGAAAAATCGGCGGCGTCTCCGCGGAGAAATTCAAAGAAACAACTTGTTAGTTTCGAGTGGCCCACTCTGTTTTATTCATGTTTTTTTGTAATTTTCGGTTTAACAATTACAGGATGATGTATTATTCAGCGCACAAACTTTCCGCAAAAAATTAAAAATTTCCGTGCAGGGACAAAAAAAAATATTTATGTTGTCATTTATTTATTTTTTGTCAAAAACACTTTAAATCGCTGTTTCTATGACCGTCTCTCCTCATTCACCATAATCTCTTGGGGTCAGTGACCGGTCAATCTCTCAACCGCCACCACACTAAATTATCTACCGTTCACTCAGCCCATATATCTTCTTTTTCATGCAGTCTACTCCACCTTCGACCGTTGCAGTTTTGTTTCAATGAAGCGCATCTTGCATCCGTAAGATTGTCACGTTTTCACAACTTATCAAATGATTTTGTCTTACGGAAAAAGAGACCAAATCTGAACTCTGAACATAAACGTCACCGTTTCGTCGTAGTAAAAGTAATAAGTCGATGATTTAACCTTTATACCTAGCCATATTAACCACCAAAAAGATAAAAATAACGTTCTTTTTTTCGCTGCCGAAAAACCCCATTCTCCCCCAAAATTTCGTTGACAAAAGGGCTGAATCTTAAGTGCAAGATGACTGTTATTTCCATGTTTTTAAATTGTCTGCACGCCCCTGAACTTTGACTGTTTTTTGCGCCAAACTTTACGTCTTTTATAGCCATTTCAAAGTTTGCGTGCACTACATATTTTTTGCTGTTTTTTGCTTTCCAAAAAACCCGTCATCCCTGACGTATTTTTCCCGTACGAAAGAAATCAGCCACTTGATGATTTATCAGTGGGTTCCTGACGTTTCTGATCTTTTTGCGTCCCGACCTTCGCCTCTCTCCATCTCTGACCCTCTCCCTATTAACCCTGATCTCTACGTCCATGTGAATATCATCAAGTTCCGTCGATTTCGTTGAAATGATGACGGAATTGGGGAAAAAACACCAATTCATCGCCTTGTTTGACATTACAGCGTCGTTCTGTTTACAAGGCCGGCCCGGAGCCGCTGATTGGGGGGATGCTGGGAAAGATTTTGACAGGACCCGGCGAATGAAACGCTCATAAATGTGGAGTTACGTAATCTCAACGCCAGAGACGTGGAGAGTTGTTTTCTACGGAACGGATCTTTCCTTTAGGACGTTGTTTTAGGTCATCAAGTAAAAACGCTAATTGCTCGAAGAGCTCTCGTTATTTTATTGCCAAATTTTACATGAATCATCTGCATAGCCCTCAAATAAATGGCTGAAAATTCCAGCCCTTGCATTAAACGCATACTGGAAATATTTTGCAATTTTTGTTGAGAGAGCGCGCAAAGCGAGGAGAGTCGGCTAAACGAAAAAAAATTGCGGTAACTACGTTAATTTTTCTATCAAAAAGTGGACTATTTTTTTGCAGGAATGTTGTCCTTCCCATCAGTAATCAACACTCTTTTTTTCAAGGACAAAATGGGAAAAAAAATTTGATCTTTCTGAACTTTTGACCTTGCAATCTTGATTGTTTCTGCAAAGCGCTAGTTTAAAGTTCCCCTATATTTTTTACGCTCGGGCATATCCTGAAACAAACGCATCCTGAATTTCAGTCATTTCTGATAAATATTTATGTTGTAATAGTCGATAGTCCTAAAAAAATCTTTTTTTTCCTTAAAAAAAATTTTTTATTCTCAAAAAATTCCTTCCCAAAACTTTCCCGAAATTTCCTCACTTCACCGAACTGCGTACCCATTTCGGTGCCACAATATTCTCTGAAAACACTGTACTCTAAACGCGCATGTTTATCACCGGCCCTGTTAAAATTACACCCTTATTGATGGGGGTCGTTAGTCGGGGGACGTCATAATTGTTTTTGCAGAAAAACTCCCATTTACCAGTTATTAGCCAAATACGCGAGTCCTTATCGCTCTGTTGACAATTCGCATGGTTAGGGGAGTTGTTACAGACATCCGAATGCATTTTAAATCGTGGTGCAGGGGAGTGGCGTAAATGGGATTTTGAGGGTATGTATTTGTGGACCGGGAGGGGTAGGCTAGTCGAATAGAGAAAAGTGCGCGTAGGTATCGAATATGAAAAGGTGTAAAAAGGGATCAACTATAAACAAAGTCGCCGAAACACGTATCATTGATATATTTATCCAGTTAAACAATGTAAGTGACGGACCCGATCCATTGGCAAAAAATGTACGATTTTGCATCCGGAAAGCATCACAAATGTGGCAAAATACCTCCCTCTAAAAGTAGAAAAAGTCTTATTTCAAAAGCACGCCCGCTCTTTTTGTTAGGAAAAAGGGCGCGTTCTTCAAAACGAAGTTTTTTCACTTGTAGAGGGAGGTATTTTACCACATTTTTGATCCTTCCCGGATGCAAAATGTCACGCATTTTGCCACTGGATCAGGCCCCCTACTGTACATTAAGCTTAGAATGGGGATACGTTCAACTTTTAAGAACAGTTCTAGTGCCGAATGCTTGGGCCAAAAATGGAAGCAATTGAAAAGTTTATTTTTGTAAAGTGATGACTTTGATCTAGTCAATTGTATCATTTACAGTCAGTTCGTAATATCGCTGCGGTGATTTTTAACGTCTGCACTGTGCAGAAAAAGTCATGGTGTAAGCGACAGCCAAAAAAAGCCTATTGCACAGTGCAAAAAGGAAGAAATTGGACAGTGTAAAGTGAACTTTTGTTTTCTCACAGTGCATGCTGTCAAAATCACTACAGTGACTTTGCGAATGGACTAATAAAGTCGACATCTAGATGACTCAAATTTGAGACTGAAAGGCTAGTAGAGGCATAGCGCAGATCTGGATACTTTTTGACACATTTTTTTCTTTTGTAAAATGAAAAATTATTTCTATCTTTTACCGTGCTTAATGAAGATTTTATTGAGAATTTGCCTTTCAGGCATATTGTTCTTAATTCCACGTTCCTTTCGAGTTTGATCCCCGTTCCAATGACCTTCTGACCTCTTGATTGCCCCCATTAATTCCCAAATATTCGGTCCTTTATTGGATATGTTGCAACGCAAACTTCAAACAGCCCTTTTTTCGATATCTTTCCCTTTCTCCCCACTCGCACTCCGATCGCCGCATGTCGTTGAAACGGCGGCTGTGACGCTGAAAAAAGTCTTGCGGCGTCTTCGAGCCGGCCATTCTCAGGGTATCTGCCGTCTTTCCCTCTTTGTCCACTCTCTCTGGAATGCGAAATGCCTCGCTTTCTCTGCCAATCTCCTCGGTTTTCGTGGTCTCTGGCGGTGACTGCTGATCTCAGCGACTCACGTGATCTTTTGATGTTTTTTGATCCTATGACGTAGAGCTCTTTGTTTCTCTGCGATTTGTTTGTCTCTCTCCGAAGTTGAA